GACCACTGCCTCTCCATTTACTCACACCTCCTTCCCGGTCGTATTTTATTCCTTTGGGATACTTGAGGATCCGGCCAGCAGCCCAGGCGAATAATCCGGTGCGATTCCCTTTGACGCTGCCACCGGCGGACGGACCAGCCGTGGCGGAGGAAGCGCTGGCGCAGCATGTGTTGCAGGGGTTCATGGCAATGTCTCACGCCGGGTCGTCGGTGGAGCTGCTCTGCTCCGTGTCCTCCGCGCGCCTGCAGCAGACGATTGCGGAGCGCTACCCACCAGCGTATAATCGTCTTTTGTTGGAGAGGCGTTGGCGCGGCAGTGGCGTTGCTTTGCGGAGGAAATTGTGGGACTGTGCTGCTTCCTCGACACCCTGAGGGACTACGCTGGGGCCAAGGATCTGGAGATTCACGTCGCGTTCAGCAAGTTGCGGTGCTGTCTGCAGGGGGGGAGTCACTGCGCGGTGCGGCTGACGGACGGCAGCGTTGGCGCGCCACTGCGGGAGCATCTTCTCCGGGAGGGCGTCCTGCATCGCTGGTGTGACGAGACGGTGAGAGCGGCGCAGGCAGACGGTGGCGCGGGGGGTGCTGATAGAGCCTTGTGGCGAGAGACACGATTGCGCGGCACATGGGTGCACTGCGGCTCCGCCGACACGTCGTCCATTGCCTTCAATCGTGGGTGGCGGCGAATTGTGACAGGCGATCCGCGAGGGACCTCTTCTTGGCGGCTATGGGGTGAGAAGCGAGGGAGGGAGAGAGGGGAGCCACGCGTTGCGGAAGGCGGGGGCGGGCTGCTGCGGCCGCACCTCGTTGTCGTCACTTCACTTTGTTGTCATGACAGTGCTGTCATTTTTTGTTTTTTCTTCACAGGGGGCTTGTATTGTGCGTTCTCTTTGGTTGCTGGGAGGAGAGGGTGCGTGCGTGCTGTGCATTTAGAGAGTCTTGTGGGAGGACCGTGATTCGCGGCGGTGCGGCGGATGTGGTGGTGTGTGCGGGAGTGGCTCCGCTGTTGGACAAATGTGGGGATTTTTAATTGTCCCTCGCGTTGCTTTTCTTTTTCCCGTGAGACACACCGCATACCGAACGCCCACACACCATCACTTCTGCCTGCATATCTCCTGCGGGCTCGGCAACTCATTGTGGGTGCGTGCCCTCCACGAGGAATGCGCTCCCCTTCCCGGTTCACGGAACTGCAGTTACATCCACCGGAGCCTAGGGGCTACACTGTTCTCCTCCTTCCCCTTTCGGGTGCGTGTGGGGTGCTGGGTTCTGCTTCACGGCCGTCTGCGTGTGTGTGTCCCTGTAGTGCGACACATGTGTTCCTCTCCCCCTCTTCTTCTTCTTGTTGTCCTTGCCCCGCTGTGTAGATTGTCTCACAAAGTCAAGCGACTCTACGACGAATGATGATGATGGTGACTGTGCGGCGCCGCGTGGTGTGCGACCTGCTGATCCTCGCGCTCTTGTGCTGCTGCTGCTGCTTGTCCGTCTGCGGGACTGCTGTGCCGGCAAAAAGCCTTGTGTTTGTGCATTTTTCGTGTCCCGGGACTGACGGTAAGTTGAGTTGGCATCTTCGAGGCGAGGAGGAATGGAAAAAGTGCCCTAAGAAGCCTGAAGAAGTCGATCAAGACAGTGATGAGCGTGCACGGCTGTGCGTTGCCGGTGGGGACTTCTACGAATATTGGAAAAGTAGAAGGAGAATATTTTGCGCTCCTCCCAGTGACCAGGTAGAGTTTATGTTCGAGATAAAATTTGCGACGTACGGGGGTTTAAGGAACAGCAGCTCGGCGATGGCACAAAACAATGATCGGGAGGCCACTGATGGCGCGCAACGGCTTCAGTCGCAACCGCAGACTGGAACAGCGGCCCCGGCAGCTACGGCGGCTGCATCGACAAAGGCGGTTGTTGACCAGGCACAGAGCGGCGTCGGCAGTCCGTCGAGGGAGGCAGCTGAGGCACCGCAGAAGAAGTCGCCTGACCACACAGCCGAGGACGGCTCTGCCCCAAGTTCGAGCGAAAACATCGCCGCCAGCCCGCTGACATCCGCAGAAGGGGCAGTTCAAAGCCGGCAACGTGACGACGGGAGTGTCGTGGATGAAAGAGTCCAGAGGAAAGGAGAATCACCGGGTAACGTGCAGGACGCGTCGCCACTCGGTGGTGTCGCGAACGAACACGTGGCATCGGCACCCGAAGCTTCCGGTCGGCCGTCCTCTTCTCCATCCGGCGACGGCGCAGCCAATGAAACTTCCCACAACAGTAATGAGGGTGACAGCGAATCCGACGCCAGTGGCGAAGGCAACAGCACCGTTGCCGGCACGAATCCGCTCCGACCGACCAGAGACGAAAGTGCAAACGAAAGTACAGAAGATATCGCTGCTTTGTTGCAGAATTTTGTCGTTCTGGACGGCAGCGACGTCACCACTGTGTGGGTGCGCACGCCCCTGCTGCTGCTCGTCATCGCCCTTGTCTGTGCTGCTGTGCGGTGATTGGGACTAGTCGTGCGTGTCCTTGCGGGGACGGCTAGTACAGTATGTGTGTTTTCCTTTTTTTTTTTTTAAATTTGCTTTGTCACCCACACGCGGTGCCGGCCCTGCGGCTGTGCGTCCCACGGACTGCACGAACGAGGATTGGAAGAAAAGGCCGGATGCCGCATGAAATGCGAAGAATGTTGTGTGGGTTAGTGGAAGAACGCGATGTTATTATTATTATTATTTCATTTTTCTTTTGTGCAGGTAATATATATGCACGCACCCGATCGTCTTGAGCCGCATGGCACATGAAATTCCTGCCGAATCATTTTCTTTTTTTTTTCTTTTTTCTTTTTTGCTTTCCGGGAGCCCTGCGGGATTCTCATTCTTTCTTTTTTGTCTTTTCTTTTTTTCTTTGGTAAATCACTACTGTCTCTTTTCCGTTTGTGCCGTGTCCACTGTCACTTTGTGTCTCCGTGTCCCGTTGAGTGTCCCTCTGCTGGTTGTGCTTCTGGCATGTCCCCATTTCTTCTCTTTCTTTTCTGCTAGAGGCACCGATGGTCCCACACTTGCTTGACCTCGATGGCACGAGGGTGGCTGGGCGCCGGCCTGCTGAGTGCACTCGGAGTGGAGCGGATGGTGTGCGCCGTGCCTCACTTGTGAGTGTGGGCGCCACCCACCACGACCTGCTGTGAGGCGCAGTGATATTCCGTCGGGGCGGAGAGAAGTGAAGGACTGCGCCGTGGAATTGGATGCGCCCCGTTCCTCTTGCTGCGGCCGTGTGTGTGTGTGTGTCCTTTGGCTGCCCAAAACTCATTGGCGCCGCAAATGCGGCAACACAAGAGTTTGATTGCGTGGAGGCGCCACCGTCGCTTGAATCAAACTATGCATGTGGCAGACACGCAAACAGGGAATCGCACCGGATTATTGGCCTGGGCTGCTGGCCGGAACCTCAAGTATCCCAAAGGAATAAAATACGACGGGAAGGAAGTGTGAGTAAATGGAGAGGCAGTGGGTCCGCCAAATCCTCGTTGTTTGCTCCGCATATATTTATATTTATTCATTCTGTTGGTCCCACGCACGTGACATGTCGAACGCTCTGTTCGGATTGGATACATATATGTATATATATTACTTACCAAGTGGCAGACCTTGGGCTCCGCCAGCCACAAGGCCTCGCCGCGAGGTGGGAATCAAAAGAAGGTTGCTGGGAAAGTAAGAAATAAAAATATTAGTCTTGACGTTCTCGGTTCATTTGGTTGCTTTCATCGCGGTCTTCCAAAAGAATTCATGCGGTAGGAAGGAGTAGTACAGAAATATATCTTTTTCTTTATTTTCCTTAGCTTGTGAAAGGGATGTTCGCGGGGGAGCTGGTCACCTAAATGAATATGTCCTGACGAAACGGAGATGTTTCTGCACGATTCTTTTCTATCTTATGAATTTTTGGAAGACGGTGATTGAAGGAACCAGGGAGCCGATAGCGACAGGACGGATTTTTCTTTACTTTTTATTTCTTACTTTCCCACCACCCCCTCTTTGATTCCCACCTCGCGGCGAAGCCTTGTGGCTGGCGGAGCCCAAGGTCTGCCACTTGGTAAGTAATATATATACATATATGTATCCAATCCGAACAGAGCGTTCGACATGTCACGTGCGTGGGACCAACAG